ACCGACTGCTTTAGAACTGAACATAGGTGTTTTAGGTTTGCGACACATGTTCAGCTCTTGGACTTTGGTTGAATTCCTTGCAAAGCCAACAATCGGATCTGCTAGGAGCGGCCCTCCCCTGCGGCAGACGAGGAGTATGGTGAAACCATCTGAAACCCGTCCCATGTCCTTCCGAATGATGTGAGAATGTCCACCTATCATTAATCAATGTTCCCCGGCATGTAACTTGCTAAACAAAAAGTAGCCGCGCCCCCCCTGAATCTTCCTGCATCCTGTGCACATAATGTTAAAGCCCATCCCCCCCCAAAAAAGAACAAAAGACGATGAGCGAAGGGTCACCAGTGGGACCAGTCAAGCAGAACAGACCTACTTGTAAGGCCTAAACCATGTGGGAGTTGATCAAAAACCCCGTGTAAGGAGTTTTCTATAAAACAGCCTTTCAGATGTTGTTAGAACCATCCGCGAAAGATTCGCGATGAGGTTTGCGAAAGTACACCGAACAAAAAAGTGAGTGGCACAACTCGGAAAGAACGGGAGGGCGAGTAGATGGTACCTCGGGACACGTTTTTGGCCCCATTTCAGGGGGGGGGTAGATGGCACAAGGTTTTTCATGGGTAGTGATTTTGGGGAACGGGGCCACCAAAAAATAGATGGCACAAGGTGATTTTTGCGCTCCCGTGGGGAGTAGGATGGGTGTGCGTTCAGAATTGATGGCGCAAGCCATCCAGCCTTTTGATTTCCTGTGGATTCCTTTCTGTGTCCATTCATGGCTATGGATTTCCTGTTGGTGCCTAGTGATTTCCTGTTGAAACCATTTGATTTCCTGATGATTGCTATTGGTGTTCCTTGTGGTTCCTTTTGGTTTCCTTTTTGATGTCCCAGTGAAGCCTTTCCATTTCCTGTTGCTTCCCTGTGTGGGTAATGAATTCCCCCCCCCAACAGGGTCAGGAAAATAATAGATGGCACAAAGGACAACGCGCTCCCACACTGGGAGTTGTGTTTCCTTTGTTTCACTTCTCCTTTACCTGCCCTTCCCTTTCCTGTTCTTTCTTGCTCTTTCCTTTTTGTGTCCTTTCCTTTCATCTCCTTTGCTTTCCTGCCCTTTCCCTCTCCTCTCCTTTCCTTCACTTCTCCTTTCCCTCTCTTTCCCTTGCCTTTCCCTTTTCCCTTCTGCGTCCACTTCACACTCCATTGGCCTAGCTTTCAGACCAGTGCACGATAAGAGCCAAGTAGATGGCGCAATCTTAGCCCTCCCAAGTCTGGAAAAATAGATGGCACAAAGAAAATGAGCTCTCACCGGTAGAGGCTTGCAGGTGCCCAAAATATTGATGGCACAACCCTAAAAACACATTCCATCTACTATTTTTGCGGAGTATTTTTTTTCCACAAAAGAGTTACCGAAGGTCATTGCTTTCATATGTTTTCCTTTCTACCGGACTAACAAAGAATAGAAACACAAGGCAATCCTCTGGCAGAGCCGGTGGGCGGAACTGACTATCGAACTGAGGCCTCAACATTTCCGTGCCCAGCCCCGGCAGTGATTCTCCGATTCCTGTCCCCACTGTCACAGACTAGCAACCTGAGTAGGCACAGCCCTGACAGTCAGGCAACGACCTGCAGCTGCTCTGACGGGCTGTGCAGATGTTTGCCAAAGTTACGGCTTCCTGCATAAAGCACCAGTGAAATTTCGCGAAAGATCCGCGAAAGTTTCGCGAATGTGCCGCTAAAGTCCAGGTTCCCAGCTTGAGGCCCCCCCAACATTCCCCAAGCTGCATCACCCTGTGTTGGTAGCGCCTGATTCTATTTGGCACAATTGTCGCACAGATGCTGCAAGTGACCCTGGGTAGCTGTGGAAACGTTCAACCTTCTACTGGGGTCATGCTGCAAGATGTTTGTCCCTATTTTGTGATACTATGACATGTTCCGGCTCATGTTAGCTAGACTCTAGACATGGTTGTAGGACCATGCTCCGCGAAAGATCCGCGAAAGATATCTTTTTTCCGCGAAGAATGGCCATTCCAGGATGAAAGAATATTGATCAACCACCATGTATATACATGGAGTCAGCCCAAAAAGAAAGTCAATCCAAATCCACTGGATGCAAGACCAGCTGGCTCGAGCGTCTTTCGCCTTGGCCACCCTGAAAGTATACAATAGGTCTCCACACATATCCAAAGCTCTAATTCTTAGAGCTTTTGGGGCAGGTGTGGATGGAGTTCAGGTGCTTGAGCTGTTTTTTGATGAAGAAACTTGGGTTCTTTGCATATCTAGGCTCTGCAGATCCTGCTGTGCTCTATCATATCCCCACCATCACTGAAGGTTCGCACGTACACAGTCCACCTATGATTGCTAAAGGTATCCAAAATAAAGCAATGCATACCCCAAAAGGGCACACATAAATCAACACAAACAAACATAACACATTGAAATATGTTATATAGGCAGCACTGGGAATCCCAAAATCTTTGGCAAACATCCTTTGTTAGGTTTCTGTTTCAACAAAAGCCACAATCGACTGCCACAAAAAGAAACTGGAAAGGGTAAGCCCCCATGAAGGCCCAATATAGTAATTGTTTAATCAGTAATCAACCCTCACCCTGAAAACAGCTTGAGGTGTGCTTTTGCTTTCCAGATTTTGGGCATCCGTTTTCCCTGTCCAAATCTAAATTGGATGGAGCACCAGCCCACATCTGTTGTTTTTGTTTAAACGTCAATATGTGGTGAAGGAATCAACCGAAGATCTTGGCACAACTTCCCTGGTCGAGACTTTGTGGAGTCATTATAAGAATCACCCCAAATAAGTTTCCGGCACAAAAAAAACATCAGCACTAGATTTAGTCAAGACAAATAATTACAACTCATGTCCTGGGCATGCGTTTTGCCTTGAACAGCCGCTTTGTGTATGAAGGAATTGGTAAGCAAGCTGTTGGTTTTGGTGAATGCGTTTAAAGAAGACCCTTTGGGCTGGGATATCCGGTCATTTGGACCGGAGCTGCTCGGTCTTTGGTGGACCAGATCCAGAAATCTCCAAATTCCTATTATACAGATCCTTTCGGTTGGAATTGAATCACAATTGAGGATTATGAAGATATTTACATGTATGTATATTTATGTGTTTGTGGTCTTCCATAGTTGTTTCTTGTTTAAAGATATTTGAAGACCGTGGCTCAAGATCAGGAGAAATCCAGGGCTAGAGATGAGGACGGGCTACAGAAACCAGTTGTTTAGGCTGCGTTTATGCATGCAGCCTTCATGCATTGCGCCTCACCGGATGGGTGGGCAGGAAGGATTCCTCAAGAACCCGAGGCGGAATTTCAGCCTAAGGTTCTTCTCGAGAACGTAAGTAAGTTTGGAACTTTTAAGCATGGAGGACCACTGTTGATTCACCGGTCAATGTTGACTTTGTAGGCCTTCTTGGCTTCGAAATGCAGTCTTTACAAGGTTTGGTTGAAGGGATTAACTTTCGTCCTTGCTCCTAGTAGCGATGCCAGGAGCCCCTAGTAGTTTCTTGTTCCTAGTAGTAAGGCCAGGAGCCCCTAGTAGCGTCCTTGCTCCTAGTAGCGATGCCCTTTGCTCCTAATACAAGGCTGTAGTAGTACAAAGTAGCCCCAAGTTCGATTTGCGTTTGCAGGTCCTGCTTGTGTGACCACAATGTTTCGAGGAGAAAGCTCGCGCAGGCAAGCAGGAGGAGGCGGCATGTCTCGGATGGGTGGGAACATGTGGGACCTCATCCATCCCCGACCTCAACACAGGTCAGTCAAGAAGCCAGAATTGAGGTTTGTTACTAGTAGCTTCTTGTTACTCGTAGCGATGGCCTCCAACCTACTTGCAATGGCCTCCACCTAGCATGGCGTCCCTGCTACTAGCGTCTCATCCTGAGTTTGGTTTGAGATAGTGATTCCATCGTCAATGATCCAGCCCGAAGAGGTCTCATGTTTCACACGGACAAATGGACAACGGGAGAACACGACGTTCCGGTTCCACGAAAAGGTCTTGCTCGTTCTGCTTGGGTTTCACAGGTTTGGGGGAGTCCATTTTGTTCTACCGCCAGATGTGTTCCAGACGAAAACTCTGAAAACTCCTCAGGAAAAAGAAAGCAGCACAAAAACATACCAAACCACCTTGTGAGCAGCCAGGAGAAAGCGCGGGATCGAGAGGCAGAGCCAGATGATGAGTGTGCATGGCTGCACGTGGGTGTGGTATATGTGCTTTCGAGGTTGGTTCGACAGTTTCAGGTGGACAAAATATGAGCCAATGACGGCAAGTCCTTCAGCATTGAGTCACCAACTGTTTGAAAGTTCAGATTTGAACATTCAGCCGATCAACCTGGTTGCAGTATTGTCGAAAATGTCGTATAGTAGCAGTATATTGGGAGTTGCCAAATCCGATATCTCCCCCCCGCAGGAGAAGGCCGGGCATGAGGCAGGACCTGGGACATTCTTGGGGAAGTCATGTGCAAGGGCATCATGGAACTCACACGGGGTGGGATGAATGATATTATTTGCTTGGAGAATCTTGGAGATACGTCCTTTGTGAGAGTAGCCAGCACAGCTCCGACTCAAAGACCAACGGAGCATTGAGAGCCCTTAACGAGGCAAAGACACGCAAGGCATTTGCTGGAGGGATTGTCGGAATCTAGGCATGTAGCTATGGCAGTAGCTGATTGCAGTGGCTGTTTTTTCCCTCAAAGGACTTGTTGAGCGAAGACATCAACGAGTTTCTGGGCGTTGGGCTCCTCAGGTTTGGGGGTGGGAGTGGAGCATCCGAGCTGGCGGCACGCGCGTTTTTTCGCGAGCTTCTATCATGTTCTATCCTGATGGAACATTGCCGGTGACGGTGGCGAGATTTCATGAAGGATTATTCACTGTAGTTTTCACTGTTGAGATCAGCTGTCATCACTTGCTCACTTGCTACAATCCAAACGAGGGTAGATTGCAAACTGTTAGGGCTTTGGGGGTTAGAGATGTTTCATTCTCAGTGGCGAAGACCAGAGCCCCCCCAGCGCCCTTTTCCCAACTCAAAGCCTTCGACGTCCAATCCTTTCGCCTCTCACTTCCGAACCATGCGCGAGCTGGTGCACGTTCAGGGAGGCGGGGTTAATGTGGATCTGGCATTCGTCATGGAAAGGGGAATGAAAGGCAACTCTGGGCTTTTGGGGGGTTCGACCCACTAAGTTTAACAGGAGATGCTACGAGCCCTGATCAAAGCAGCAAGCAACATAAGGGTAAAGCACCTGTGCAAGGAAGCAACTTTGCATCCCACTATTTATGTAATTAGCTTCGAAAGGAGCAGCCAGATCAGTCATGCATAGTTGGGGTCCATGTCAGGAAGGTGATGCCTGACCGTGCAAACCAATGCAACCGCAACCCTGTGTGCATACTACTAAGCCATCCTATACTGATCTATACTGTGCAACGCAAGCATATGCCCGCTACAATGTTTTGCTACAATGTTTTGCTACCTGTCCAGGCCAATGTGGAAACCAGATCGGTGCAAAGTTCTGGGAAGTGATTGCCGATGAGCATGGTATCGACTCTCAGATTGAGTCTTTAGCGTGACGGTTTCGGTTTTCAGCCGAATACAGCGTGAGTTCAACCCCCCCGAGACTGCTCCGTTTTCGGCACTCCTTCGCTACCTCCGTCACGCCTCGCAACTTCACGGTTTCCTGCGCCTGCCACGAAAATCTCACTTCCACACCTCAAAACCCGCACAAAGTACTGCGCCTGCCACGAAAAGTGACCATATCATATCATGTGAGCTTCAACCAAATTTGCACCACACCACTGGTTTCGACCCGTTCTGAGGACACTCCCATCCACCAAAATCACCATTTCAGCTGAGACTTGTCACGAAAACAGAGCTTCGATGCAACACCCTGAAACGCAAACCTCAACGGCACGGCCACATCCAACACCCCCAAAACACCACTCTCTAAACGCTAATCCCAATGGAACTGCGCAGAAAACTGCGGATCTCACAAAACGCTGCGCCTGCGCAGTGAAATCATCCTCCACACGTCAACATCTTACATTTCTACACGTTTCCGCGCTATTTCACTTGAATCTGACACGTCACGTTTCCATCCCAAACCCTCTCCAAAAGGCAGCGGCCTTAGCGCCGTACTGCGGTCACTTGCGGACGGTTGCGAACGCTGAGACAACACGTCGCGAACAAGGCTCTACCCCCAGACCCCCAGAGTTAAACGAGAACCCTTCGCTATGAGGGTTCACAAGCAAAGAAGGAGGCAAAGATAATTTTGAGGGAATTCAATATCACTGAAAAGAATCATTAAGCCAGGGAAAGTTGCTGACATTATTCTGGGGGCGTTTATTGGTCAGAGGTCAACATTATGTTCTGTGGGATACGCACATCCAAATAATGATAAGACATAAGAAACATCAGCAAAATCACGAAATCATAGGCATCAACTGAAGAATGATAGGACAGGAATCAACCAAACCATGTTTTCGAGCCCCTTGGTCCGCTTGGTCCTCATGGTCCGTCCCCTCGTCCTTGTTGGTTCTCACGGTCCGTCCCCTTGTCCTCACCCCTTTTTCTCTTGCGAGCTTCGGCCCTGCCACTGCCACAAAAGATGTTTATAAGAAGTTGATATATGTGCAAGGTTTGGATAATTCATGCTTGCCTCAAAGATATTTATATAACATGACCCCTCAAATGACGTGTAAGGCCGCCGGCCTCTTGTGGGTTTTGCTCTGGGGGGGCAGGGGGTACAAAAGGGTTTGATAAAAAAAAATTTCTTCACCTTGGAAACCATTTGGAATCCGAGGATGCCCACAAAACCTTTGTGGGCCAAGTGCAGGGTTAATTTACATAGAGGAGGATGGAAACAATCCTAAGGTTACACTTAGACTTACACACCTGTATGTATATCACCCGAAGGTAAGAACACGACTTTCAAACTTTACCTTTTTGTGGTGCTGGGCCCCCAATGCAGTGCAGCCAACAAACCTGCTTTGCTGTAACTACCAGCAGTTCAACAAAATGTGTTTGTTGATCCCATTTGATCGTTATCAATTTTGTTTTTTGATACCCATAAGTCTATAAATATATCATATGGTTGGTTTTGCATGTCCTTTTTTGATCCGTCACAAATTGACAAACATGAAAAACAATAAACTTGAACATTTGCATGAGATAAATTGCATTGTTTTTAAAGATGTCTTTAGGATTGTAAGGAGAAATCATTTGACGTACTTTGATTTTTCTAACAGTTTGTTTGCTACTTGCATGAACCAGCGTCAACAACACTGAGCGCCCGCACTTCATTCAAGATGAAACAGCTGGCTACCCCATCGCCGACCGGCAAGGATCCCACAGGTACCTACCATGGGGATAGCGATTTGCAACTCGAGCGCATCAACGTGTACTTCAACGAAGCCACCGGTGGTCGCTACGTGCCCCGCGCCGTGTTGATGGACCTGGAGCCGGGTACTATGGACAGCGTCCGCGCGGGGCCCTTCGGACAGCTCTTCCGGCCGGACAACTTCGTCTTCGGGCAGACTGGAGCAGGCAACAACTGGGCCAAAGGAGACCCGGAGGGACCCTGTTCAGGGGGGTTGGACCCCATAAAAGACAGGGAGCAGGGGGGGTTGAAGAATGTTGAATGTGGGGAACGATGGCCTTGGCCGCCTTGGCCATATGAGTTGTTGGCCGGAGAAAGGAAAGCGGAGTCGAACATGACATCTCATGACAATCGCATGCCTGGGTAGAGGAAGCAAGAACATCGGTGCCTCATGACCAATCTTCATGAATGAATCAAGTTTGGGACAATATTATATACAATAGATTGATGCTTGACATTTACCATGCAACTTTGTACCACGGAGCTGACCTGACTGGCGATTGGCTGCATCGTCTCGGCAATGAGCTGAGTCGGTGCTCTGAGTCTGTTGCATGCTGGATGCTGGTTGCTGGCTTTGGTTCACTGTGCATAGATCAACTCTTACCAAGTTACTCCAAGGAGTTCTTGCAAAGCTCAGCAAGTTCTGCCGGATAAAACAGATGATGCCCCTCCCCCACAGGATCAACATGAAGTTTCAAGACGATGCCGTTCTTCACGATTTCGGGTGCACCGGGTCAAATTTCCAAAGCCGAGTGAAAATGCAACAGCGATGATATTGCAATTGGCCACCGCACTCCTGCGAAGGTTGCGGAGTCTCAATACTGCAATGTAGAATAAGAAAAGTAGACCCTTTTCCCTGTTGAAGTATTTCTTCCACTCTATTTTGCCAGGACACTACACTGAGGGGGCCGAACTCATTGATAGTGTTTTGGATGTCGTGCGCAAGGAGGCCGAGGGATGCGATTGCCTCCAGGGGTTTCAGCTTTGCCATTCCTTAGGAGGAGGCACCGGTGCGGGCATGGGCACGCTTTTGATCTCCAAGGTGCGCGAGGAATATCCAGAGCTTTGGCTGTGAAGTCAGACATTGCTTTGGAGTATGAACTAGAATATAATAGATTTTGAAAGGGGCTTAAATCGACGAAGCAAATAAAAATCAATGAGGTGGTTTGCGGTCATCTTGATTGTGCCATGTCTTCATGAGACCTGCTTCAACACTGTTCAATACTCTTAGAGGATTTTTTTGGAAGCAGGCCTTATTTGGCCTGTGGGTTCGTGGGTTTGGAATCACCAGGTTCACAGTCTCGGGCGGGATCGCACGGCGTTCGGAGCTTTGAGGATCGCATCATGGAGACGTTCTCTGTGATCCCATCGCCCAAGGTCTCAGACACCGTGGTGGAGCCATATAATGCTGCTGGGTGATGGATTTGAGTCCGTTTGAGGTCTCTTTGAGATGGGGTTTGCAGTGTTGCAAGCAATCTTAGGCGCACCCGTTCTTAACCACGATATGAGGAAAGCACCCGTTCTTAAAAAAGTGTACGTCTCTACGACAGACATGTGGCAGAATAACTAGCTGACTGAGAGCCGTCTGACTAAAGGATGGACAACTCCTTAAAGGATGCAGTGATGGAGCTACCTTTGAAGTGCGCTCAGGCAGTCTTGAGCTTTCACCAGCTGGTGGAGAACTCTGATGAGTCCTTCCTTTTGGACAACGAGGTCAGAACGTTCTTTACCTCAGAATGCCCACCAAATTGCTATAATACAAAGATAATTCCAATCACATTCTTTACGGTCTCTTGTTTCCGATCGTGTGGCTGTTTGACATGTATTGGACAGTTTTCATCGAAACGAGCCTGAAATCTTATCCGTCACCTTCATCACTTTTTTGTGCCTTTTTTGTGTTTTTTTCCCAAACAGTTTTCTGTTGGGGCTCTCTCTTTGACAAAAAGACACTGCCCATAGTCTTTGGCCGCGCCCCTGAACCCTGTGTCCGGCTGTTGTCCTGCTGTTTTGTGGCCGGGCTTGGGAACTCTGTGTCCTTCTCTTGTCTTCCTGGTGCCCTTGTAGTCCTGGTGTGGCCACGCTGGCGAACCCTGTGTGCTTCTGACAGGCTCTATGCAGAGAAGTAGAGTCTTAGATTAGAGGTTCCTTTCTAGACAAATGTGCAGAAAGCAGGCGGGAGTTCTGGTAAGAGTCAAGACTGTCTGGAGAATTCGTCAGAAATCAGGACGGTGTTCGTTTTGAGTGAACGTCGGTTGCCTCGCAGAGCGTGTTCGCATGACACCTCCATGTGGCTCAGTCCGACGTTTCGCGCGATCGCGCAAAACAGGCGACCCCGCGAGCCAAAACAGGTGGACCCATGACCCATGTGGACTCGATTCTTCCGGGGAAGAAGCAAACACTTGCGAAGCCAACGACATGTTTGTTTCGATGATTGTTTTCGGGTCAGGCTGGAGTCAGCTTAAGTGGCTGGCAGTAAGGCGTCGGTACTAGCTAGGAATCTACTACCTAGGATGCAGAAGAGCGCAGGCTTTTTCAAAGAAGCTCGTTCTGCCTGAAGCTTCTTCAACAACTCTCCCTCCGCCTGAGGGGTGGAGCTGGCCCGAAGAACCCCTCGCATGAGTGATTTTGGTTCCTATACTGGGTTGTAGGTTTGTGGGCAACTTGAAGACTGTGATTGCTTTAAACAAACTACTCAGAATGCTTTGACCTTTAAGCAAGGTTGGTTATAGCCAGTCGGATGATGCAGGCCATCCACACGGTGTGCGGCCTCAGTTGTACGGCCTTGGGCCTTAGCCCGTCCACAATGACAAGATAACAACACGGAAGAGTTCTTGCCAAGATGGTTTCATCCCAAAGAGTATTTATATACTGTTGGCGTTCTCTCTTAGGAAAAACAAGGGCGTTGCTGTCCGCCAAATCCCTTCACCGCCCAGCGTCCACGCCCAGCGTCGTTGGTGCGTCCTGCTGAGCCACACTGCTTTCCCTTTCTCCACCGCCTTGTCCGCGTAATGATGTTCGTGTGATGAATGCAACAGTGATGCAGTGCAACTTGGATATCTGATATCCTCCGATATTCTCACTTCATATGTCCTTTGGATTTTGCACATGTGACCTCGAGAAACTGGAACGGTTTGCAAACATTTGGAGGCTATAGGAATATAAAAATCACAGACGTTACCATCAACATTGGAATTCAAGGAGTTGACACCGCTTGACACCCCCCCAAAACAAAAAAAGAAAAAACAAAGCTGAAACTGTTTGGGTTTTTGCCGGCATAGAAATAAATCTTGTTTGCTCAGGCTCATTTCCAGTGAGGAAGGCCACTCAGGTTGCCTTGCCTTCACACTCTTTCATCCCTTCATCAGCGCCCTTCGACCAAAAACATCCTCCGGCCTTCCTGGTTCCTTCCGAAACCTCAAAAACCTGTAGACCCAGTAGACCTCAGAACTGACCACTTTTCAGCTGAAGAACGCAAGACCGACCTGAGCCTTTCTCAGGCCTTGTACGATATTTGCTTCCGCACCTTGAAGCTGACCACCCCGACCTATGGAGACCTGAACCACTTGGTCTCGGCGGCCATGAGCGGCGTCACCTGTGGCCTGCGCTTCCCCGGGCAGCTGAACTGCGACCTTCGGAAGATCGCGGTGAATTTGGTGCCCTTCCCCCGGCTGTGGCCTGGACGTCAAGTCAAGTCATGAACAAGCTGAATCATCATCAGATTCAGGGATATATATATATATATAAAGAGATTGGCAGCAGAACTTGATCTAGATAGCCTATATAAAAGAAGAGGTGAACGTGCCACAGAGAGTTGGGGGTGTGTAGATTGGTGTACGCATCCCCGCGACCATATGTCTTTGTTTCAAGAGGTGGTGAGTCTGAGTGCTTACACTTGCAGACACGAAAACCCATATATAATCACATGTAATCATATATATACATGTATATAGATAGACATATATACATATGCATCATCATCATCATCATCATCATCATCATCATCATCGTAATCATCAGACAGCTGGAGGATTCGATTTCCGATGCAACTTCAGAAAGCAGAAGGCGGAAAGTGGCTTAGGGGTCTTGCGATATGGAAGAGACAAGGAAATCAGCCAACCCCACTTTTTGGACCACATCCTGTTAAGCGTTTTTGCGCATGCCAATATGTAATGCTTATTGTTTGTACCTATGACTGTGTCAAACTTCCATGAAAATCCGTGTCACCCAAAATGACAGGATCTCCACCAATCCATTCAAGACTTGCTCACAACCAACTTTGTATGGCCGCACCCATCCGCACCGTCATGTTAACTGTAGTTATGGCTGAATTTGCAACTTCAAACAGACTACTTCGGCTTAAGCATAATTTGAAGCAAAAACCAAGCCCCTTCAACCGTGGAAGTAGGCTTTACACCGACGAGCCAGGCACTTCTTCATGACGGGATTTGCGCCCTTGACCTCCCGGGGATCTCAGCAGTACCGTGCACTCACCGTGCCAGAGCTCACCCAGCCGCTCGGCTTTTTTTTAAACTTAAGCGGTGTTCTTGTGTTTTCTTGGATGTCATTCTTTGTTTATTTTTAATCGTTGTGTTTTTCTTTTTAGCTGAACCATTATTCTTGTCAATGATTCAAGGAGATTGAGTTGGGATAAGTTGGGTGTATTCTGCTTGAATTGACGCCCAGCGCTACAAGACCCCGAAATATGTGTACTTGGGTCTTCGAATTGAATTGCTAATAAACCATTATAAAGAAGTCTCTTGAGTAGAACACAACCATTCACCTTAAATAAATAAGACGACAACAACAACAATTACTAGCACTACCACTCCGACGACGACGACTACTACTGCTAATGCTAGTGCTACTACTACTACTACTACTACTACTACTACTACT